GGCAGAGGGATTACTAGTGTTTGGAGAAAGATGATATTATTTTTTAGAGTTTTTTCATATAATTGCAATTAAATGAAAAATAATTTTCCACCTGACATTTTTTTGACGAAAAGTTGCCACGTCAGCAAAAAATGTTTGTCTACTCAGCATTTATAGTGATGACGTTAAAGTTATTGATAGAATGCCTATATGAGTGTATTTTTCAAAAAGTGGCTATAATTGTCACAACGCGAATAGTTATAACTATAAAAGTGTATTAAGCCATAAAAGAAACTCAAGCTCTTTTAATACTAGTTTGGATCCATCTTTTTTTTTAGCTAGGCATATAAGCTACGCCTACCGTGCGAATGGATTAATTGTATTTTCCTCCCAACAAAAAAAGGATTGATGAATTACGAGATGTAAGGTGGTAAATTTTAAATGAAATTTGACGTATTGGACAAACTCATCCCCTAAGGTTTTGCTGACCTCTTCCTTATGATCATTTAAGATTAATTAAGTGTGCAACCCATATTTATCTCTCTATATGTGAACATGTTAATTAGCTCTCATTGATTAGTGTGACATTGTTACCACTAACCAGTGCATACTTTGCCAGCCCAAAAGGGTCGTGAATGTGCAGTAGCACTAAGCAAGGACCATGTAGGGAAGTACTTTCCTTTGTAAACTTTAGCCAGGAGGGATAGGGGTTCGTTAAGGATTCGCCACCCAATTTTGGCCAAGAGGGCCTGATTATAGTGCTCGAACGACGAAACCCCAGCCCCATCATGTTTACTGTGGCACAAGTTTCTCCAGGATATCCAACAGATACGGGACTGACCACCCCACCAAAATCTGGCCACATGTTTATTCAAAATCCTATAGAGGGATGTTGGGAGTTTGAAACAAGACATTACATGAAAGGGTAATGAAGAAGCAACTAATTTAATCAACGTCTCCCTTGCCGCCCACGACAATGTTCTCTGTAACCAACCCTAGAGCCTTTGTATAAGCTTTTCCTCCAGAAAGTGAAACGTAGCCATTTTAGACTGCGTAATCAAGGTGGGAAGACCCAAATATTTATCTTGTGCCCCTATCTCCCCCACACCAAGTAATTGGATAAGCATGTCTTGACCACTTAATCATCATACTCATTAAGGACCTCAATCAGATTCTCGCATTCCTAGACCAATCCTCTGAGGAATAAGTATGAATCTTCTGCGAAGAAAAAATGAGACATAGGCGGAGCCCTGGGGAAACCTTAACCCCGACTAGCTTCCCTTTCGCAATGGCTTTTCAGGTGAGAGCCGCAAATCCCTCCGTACAAGTGACAAACAAGAGGGGGTAAGGGGTCACCTTGCTTAAGTCCCCTCATTGATTGGAAGAACCCAGACGGAGTGCCATTCATAAGGACTGAGAAAGATGATGAAGTCAGGCATTCCTTGATCCACCTTATCCATCTCAAATCAAAACCCAATTTTTTTCTAAAACCGCGAGTAGGAAGGGCCACTCGACACTATCATAGGCCTTCTCCATATCAACCTTCTGAGTTGTGTAACCCTTCATGCCCTTAGTTTTAATCTTAAGGTAAATCATTAATTAGTGTCAAAGCAGGACATTATCCACAATCTGTCTTTCTCGATGAAAGCATTCTGCCCCGGTGAAATAATCTCGGGCAGGAATTGGTGCAACCGTTCATACATGATTTTGACAATAATTCTATACACGAATTGCCATAAACTTAGGGGGGCCTCAACTGTCTCATATCTCCACATTGTCCACTTTGGTAATTAAAGTCAGCTAAGTGTGATTGAACCTTCACAATGTTCGCTCCGTTCTAAAGAAGGAACAAACAACATCAACCATTGACTCCCCGATAATATCCCAAAATTATCGAAAGAATTTAACAGTGAATCCGTCCGAACCATGTGCTTGTGTGGACCCAGTCGAAAAGATCGTTTGCGGAATTTCAAGAGGCCAGGCTTTAGCGTCCAAAAACTCATTCATTGCATTCGTTACTGTCTATCAATCGGGAGGTTAGCCACATAGGTGACCATATTCCCCACATGATTCTTGGAGGCAAACAGGTGAGTATGATGCATTCTGATCACCTTTCTTGAGCCACTTTACCCTATATTTCTGTTGGCAGTAAATTTCCTCTACCTCCCATTGTCGACTTAGATCAGCATCCTAGTTGATGGGGTGGACATGTTTTACCCGATCTATCTCTACCTAAAGGGTTTTGATATTCCTCAAGGAATTCATTGTGTCTGCCCTACTCCAGTCATACAAGAGGTGGTGAAAGCGTTTCGAACACATCGAGAGCATGTACATTGAGGAACCGTGAATTTGTTCATTCCACACGTAAGTTACCATAGCCAGTACCTCTAGATTATCTACCCAACGAGCATCAAATCGGAAGAGCGTATGACTATTACAACAATAACAAGGCTCAGTGATCAGATCCCTTATCCACGAAATGCTTCACTAGAGTATCTGGGAATTGGTCAGCCCAAGACTGAGAACAAAGAGCTTGATCTAGCCTAAGACTAGAGTATCTGGGCCACTTATGGCTGGCTTCCTCTACCATTTCATCATCGACCTCATCATCTGAAAATTGCTTCTTCGGTGTGGGGTCATCTTTTTAGTTACCACCCACCTCATGAAAGGTTCCCTTTCGATTACCCATTTCTAGGTTTTCCAGGTTCGACTCATATTCATACACCTCCAGGGTCTTATTCACACCACCTCCTTGGAATGTTCCCACACTTGAAGGCTTCCTTTTCTTCTCCACATCACTGACCTCTATTTCAAGGGCTTCCACCGCCTGCCGAACTCTTCCTTCACGAGGCATCCTAATGGACTCCGGCTTCAAGGATGCCTTCCTACTCTTCAGCTCGAACTGGTTATCACCAAACTCTAGAAAAGGGTCATCCTCACCTCCCTCTGATATAGTGGATTCAGAATCCATCTCATACGAAATCACATGAGATCCCTCCATTGGGTGTGAGTACAAGGAAGATAGGAGGTCATCCGAGTCAACATTGAAGTGTGCAGCCAGCTCCTCCATTTCCACCTTTTTCTCCAAGCTTGCACCCATCGCAGGATGAAACCGCTCCATCCTGCTTGTGTGTCATTTTGCCTTTTTAGGTTTCAAATCAGTGCTCTCACAGCCATCCTCCTGACTTTGTCCCATCATGTCGGCCGCATTGGTGGGGTGGCTTGAATCCTTCTTCTTCTTCCTTTGGCCTTCATTAGCCATTCGACAATTCAGGTCTTTAGACCCTACTTCCTGGCAGTTCGGATGCATTTGTGTCTCTCGGTTCCGACTCCTCTTCTGTTTATATTGATCATCCACCTAATTCATCCTAGTGGAATGCACCAAGTTCCACCTCATATTGTCTGAGCTCTCAGTCTTAGCAATCGAACTAACCATATGCTGCTTCTTATCCAACAGTATCCACTTGTCACTACCTTTCTCTGCCCTGCTCCCTTGCCTTCCTCCCATTACTAGTTGCTTGTGACCATGGAGACGAGCTTCTGCATCACTTATCTGTTTCACCGCTGCATTATGAGGTTTTCTCTCTAAATTCATCCCCTTACCATGAGCAATATGCATGTAACTTCGGAGATTTAATTACCAGAAAGCCACGAGGGCTTCTTCCTCCCAATTTCTTGTCATCTATAAGTGTTGCTCGATAAAGCGAGTCCCCAAACCCCATCACTTTGAGGATGATCTTTTCCCTTCCTTCAACAGTCTGCTTCTGTTGGTCCTCATTGGGAAAGACAATGCTTGAATCGACAACTTTCCTTCCTGATGGGTCCGGATTACGCCAAACCGACTTAGAGTTCTTAAGTGCTTTGTTCTTCCCCTTCGCCAAATTTTTTATCTCCCATGATCTTGGTCGACAAAATTCAAGAAAATGATAACCACTAGTGTAGTTTATTGCATAATCAAACACTATTTATCTCAATTGCGAACAAAAAATATTTTATGGATAGTTATCGTATTTTCACAAAAATGACGTATAATTTATTTTGTAATTCAAGTAAAACTTATAAAATATATTTTTTATTTAATTGAATCAATCACGATTAAAATTTTGAGATAGAAAAAGGTAGTGTTTTGTCATAGAATGTTGATAATGACATAATATATTGAGTGATTTTGTGTGTCAATGAGTCATCCACCACCCACCCGTCACCCATCGAAATTTAATGGGCGACAAAAAGAATGAGTCACACCCACCCACCACATCCACTTAAACACGTAGTAGATGGGTTATAATCGGGTGGAATTAGTGGTTGACCCACCCACTGCCCATCCCTACACATACCACTTAAGATGATAGTTTCTCATTATTATTGTTCTAATTCAACACAAATATAAACCCAACTAACTTGCATCTAAACTTATAGAGTAGTTACTCTCAACAACAAATCACTATAGGAGATCATTACTTACAATTACTTCGAGAATATAAATTATTATGGGTTATAAGTTTTTGTGTGTGATGTCCGAGTATTTTGTTCATTATAGATTAATTTTAACATTTTATTCATTTTGTATATGATATGTTTTGACATTTTCTTATATGGTAGCAAATGAGTCTTAATATAATGGCGAGAGAAAACTAGATGATGTTAGTGGACTAGAAGGAGAAAAAAATGCACTAAATGATCCAAAGATTTGTTCTTATCCATTTAACTCTATTCGATTTTATCCAAATTCAATCAATATAACATAGACTTTAAATCTTCAGATCCTTAGCTCTTTGTCTGTTTGTATAGAGTTTAGGGCGGTACATAGATCCGCCTTCAGTGCTGCCCATAGAATGGCGCGTAAAGCACTGCTTTTGTCTCGTGTAGAGCTAGAATCTTTTGATTTTTTGGGGTGACTTCTTTAGAGTCTTTTAGGGGGTCATGGGTAGAATTGTAAGCTTATCTATTTTCTTCCATTGATATCACTCAGAAATAAATAAATAAAAAATCATTAAAATACTAAAATTTGTATGGGTTTAAAGAGTTTAAATTTTTTAATAATGAATAGCGTACAATTTTAAGATCCATAGATTAGTAAAATCAAAGATCAAAAGTAAGTGTTGTGTAACAACTTTTCCTCTTTCCTAGAAGCCTAGAACGTGATACTCCAAAATTATGGGTCCTGTCTTGTTCCCGTAATTGCCAATATTTACCTTGCATTAGACTAACGTCAAACACAGCTGGTGTTCAATCTCAATAGATGGATGTAGAGTGTGTTGACAAGTTGTGTATATGCTTGTCGCTTGAACATGATGATAATGCATCTCGGCTGCTTCTTGGAGGATAGAGAAAAAACAAAACGCGGCCACAGATTGATATTGATTTTTGCCATTGACCTGCCTACTAAGTTACAAAAAGATGTAACATCTCTAATTAAATTACAAAAGAAACCAAAAGAATTGCTATCAGACGGAATGTTACATGCATGATGAGACTTGGTAGTATACAATAGTACAAACCTTCTTAAACTGTATGCCTCTGGACAAAGAGGGAGGTGGCTTCAGCATCATTTCGAATGGGGTTTCAACTTTCAAGGCTCGTGGCTGTTTACGCGGCTATGAAGCTCGAGCATTTCTTGATGGTTCGGGTCCACAGAGAGAGCTGCTCGACAGTCTCGTAGGGCACCTGTGACGTCCCCAATGTGCTCATGGAACGCTGCCCTCAAGTGTAGGAGATGGAGGTCGGCTTTGAAAGCAATTGCCCTTGACAGCTCTTCAATAGCCTCTTTCTCCTTTTGGCTGTCCATTAACACTGCTTTCATCAAAAAACCAAATTTCAAGGTCAGGCTCAGATCCAACAACGGTTTCGCAGCCTAAAAGCATTGCAAACTCCAGCACCGATTGCTGCTGAAACGAATAGCAGCAGAACAATCCTAGGAATAAAAAGAAACGAAGGACTTATTGCATTTTTAGTACATGTGCAGATCTGCTGTCATTTTAAGAAATACATCCTTGTAATATAAATTATAAGAAAACAAGTCACTGAATTTCATCAAAATTCACATCAACAATGAGGCCGACCCATCATATCTTGATGACTTGCATGTCACGGTAAGCAAGAAATGCATCTTTTACACCCCCTTTCATCTCCCAAATGACAGATGTATCCGTAAGAGAAAGAATGAGATATGTTGGGCTTAAGAACTGAATTGGGGGACGAAAAGATCACCTTTCAGCAAAAGTGACATTTGAGTCATCTAAAACGCTTTGACTACTCTAGATCCAAACTACAACTAAATTCTGATGGAAGTTTTGATCGAGGGACTAAAAGCGACTAACCAACATATTGATCATGGATCTGTCCAAACTACAACAAAGCGACGTATTTGTTAAAAATCAAAGTACAGTGGATGTTTGTTAAATAGCATTATGGGAGGATAGACAAGGCAGAGATATTCAGAGGAGTGGAGAAGATGACTATCTGACCTGCAGCTCTGTATCTGTAGGGGTATACACGAAGTGGGTCTAGTTTTGTTACCATCTCCAGATCAATCTTGGTCAGGTCACGATCACAGTACTCAGACCTCTTCTCATATGCAGAAGCATTGTTCCGAGCTTTCTCTATCAGTTTGGTCATTTCCTCATATGCAGCTGCCTTGTCGTTTCTTAGATAATGGACACGGGCAAGGCCCTGATGTGCCCTGGTGTGCCTGATTTTCAATGCATTGATATAGCAATCAGCTGCAGAGTCTAGCTTCCCACAATCAACATAGACACTGCCTAGATTGTTAAGTGCCTGCCAAAGAGATGAAGCATTTAGTCATCAAATGACAAATTCATTGCAGCAGATCGGGAAATCTGTTTCAAGCCATTCATATTTAGCTAAAACATTATTAACTGCCTACTTTATTTTGCTATGCCAAGTCTGAAGTTGTAAGTATTAATATCACTGATCCGAACTTAGGTAACAGATGAGAGAAACAGCTAAACCTCCTTATACCTACAAAAAAAGTTATGATCTCATTCATAAACCAGATAGAACTTTAGCTCCTCAGTTTATTCTTTTCACCCCGAGTCTAAGTTTTCTATAACAGATATGTAGGTAGGGTGAATATGAGAGGGTGATATTTGCAATAGCATGCTAAAAGAACAAATTTATCGTTGTCTGTTGACACTTTTGATGTAATTGGATGTGTTTAAAATTTCAAAATGTAATATCAAAATGACCCAATTTCAAATACATGGAGGATAAAGATTAGCAAGTAGTTAAAAATGCACTCTACATAAGTGGCTCCCAAGCATCATTTTTCACACATTTTTCTGCACAAATGCACAAAACCAAAGAGTGTTTTTGCAAGTACATCTCACAGAATAGCATAAAAAATAAATAATACCATGCCATTGAAAAAAATAGCATATTAGTATCATAACCTAACTTGGGCGACAGATGAAACGGTAACACTCTCGAATCACATCGTACAGTGGATATCATGCGTAGCAAATCCGGGAAATACAAGAATATTTCAACGAAGAAGCTTCAGGCACAAAAAACCAAATACCTGGCCTTTACGCAGTCTGTCCGAGGGACATTTCAAAGCATCTTCGAGGAGTGAAATAACAGTTGAAGAACATGACACATCAAGGCTAGAGTCAGCCAGTGCATAAGCTTTAAGGAAAAAAGCTTCAAAAGATCTCTTGATTCTAATAGATTCTTCTGCTTTTTGAAGCCCTTCCTCACAGTGACCAGTATCATACAGTATCCATCCTTCATACACCAAACGCTCATGCACTGTCGATGCATGTTGACGAGCTAATTGTAGACTTCGCATTGCTGCTTTAGGACAGTTCAACCTGATTAATTTCCATGAGGATATGACAACACATAGAATTGAGATCATGTTCCAAACACCAAAAGAAAAAAACTATATTAAGGAAAATATGTATATAGAGGGAACTAGCAAACGTGAGGCTTTCCAAACATCACCATTCACTGGCCATCCCCATCTTAGAAGAAATACCATGTTAATAGGTTGCATATAGAGAATACATTCTCGTGGCATTCGCTATCTATCAAAAGGAGCAGCTAAAATTCTACTCCATGTCATTCATAGGGGAAAATCCATAGTCCACCTCATAAAGGCACCACAAGCCAAAAATAGATGATCGGAGAGGTGAAGAAAAAAATTCCGGAGACTAATGTAGGTACACAATTCAAAGTTATAAACATACCTGAGAAGAAGCAAAGACTGTCTGAAATACAGAACGCCTTTCAGTGCATCTGATTCAAGCATCTGGTATATAACAGAAAGGGATCCTATGTCATCAACAGAAGACCACCTATCATACAATTGCAGCCAACAATCTGCTGCTGTCCAATTCTCAACATGTTCACGGACAAGGATGCGAAGTTGGGACGCTGCAACCCGTCCTTCAAACATTCTATAATCAGGTGAGAGTGTAAGAATAGCCTGAATATCACAAAGTGCTGCCCGGTAATCCTCGAGAGCGAGATAAAAGCAAAAGCGAAGTTCTAAGCATTCCAATGCAAGTTTGAACCCAAGGACCCTATTGATCTCTGCTAGTGCAGCTTGAACATTCTGGTTTCTCATCAATGAAGCAGCACGGAACATGTAGGGGTAAGTAAGAGTTGGATCCAACTCGGTTGCTTTCTCAAGGTCTTCTACCTTCTGACTACCTTCGCAGTACAATGATCTTTCTTGGTACATCCACCCTAGCGGATGAAGAGAGGAAGAAATAACCAAGCTAAGCTTGTCATATGCCAAATCTTGATGACCCCTGATGTAAACAAGTCTAGCAAGACCTGACACAGAGTATGTGTGGCCTAGATTCAAAGCAGTTTCAAAAAGACATTCGGCTTCATCGTACTCTTTCCTCAAGAGCCTCACACATCCTAACTGATGAAAAGCCAACATTTTCTGCCTGTCACATTCGGCTGAGTTAACCAATTGTTCCAGGAAATAAGCTGTTTTATCAGAGTGAGAATCAACACTCATAGCAACTTCACTTAATAGACAATACAGTGGAAATGCAGCTGATCCTACCATGATTTGTCTCTCTTGCTTGTTGGCACTAACGAATATTTCAACCACGCGATCGTCATCCAAACAATTGGGTAGCTCTCTTAAAAACTGCTGTAGACATGAGGCAGCAAGAACAGGGGCGTTCTCTTCAAGAGCATATTCCATGAGTTCCACAGCATCATCTCTTGATGTTATTAACAATGCCAGTTTCCTGTCACATGCATCTTTGAGCTTTTCACAACAGAACTTGTTTGCAAAAACCAAGATTTCCAACAAAATATTCGAAGAAACTTCATTCAGATTCCCAGTTGTGCTGAACCGGCTTACTGCTATGAAGCCCGAAGCAGATATATTGTTCTCAGATAAATCTATATCGTCCCGAAGTGATTCTGAGAAACACCCATTCAGCATAGCATTAAATGGAGCAGAAAGGCGAGCAATTCTCTGCCTGTCACAAACAATTCTGTTATCTCCAATTCGGAAAGTGACGTTTTTCAGGACGTGATCACTTGTCACCAACAGCAAAGTCTCCTGAGACCCCAACAAACTAGCATCAAGATCAAGCTGCACAGGAATGTCTACTGGTCCGAACTCTTCAGCACACTTCCCACAAGTTGCAAGGGAATCAGCAATAACTTCCTCCCCTTGCTTTTCGTACTTCAGCCATGCCCCAAATACAATCTTCTCGTGAACAGAATTAGCCTTCTGCCAAGCAGAACGGAGGCTTCTTCGCATTAACTTGACTTCCCCAAGGCCTCTAAAGACCTCATATTGTAATAAATACAGATTCGACCTATCATTTTTGGGGCATGATTCAAGTTCTTCATGAATCTCAGCTAAAACTTGCACATAATCAACAGGTTTGAAGAATGGGAGCACGGGCGGTTCAGGGATCTTGATAAGTGATTCTCTACAACCAAAGGGCAATAAGGGGAAAAACAAGACCATCCCAATTTATTGAACATCGCACACACATAAGACAACCATTTCAGAAGGGATAAAATAGAAAGAAAAAAGAATACTTACATGGATGAATCAAAAGGATGTGAACCGAACTTGGAAAGCTTCCCTCTTTCAACTTGAAGCCATGACTGTGGATTGAATGAACTGAGTTGAGACTCTTTACACGACTCAGATGGAAAGAAACCCTTCATGGGGCATAAGAGCTGAAATAAGTCCCAGATCTCCACAGTAGCCTAGCAAGCTCCCTCCCCAGTCTGTATCATGTATGGATGTCCCTCTCCGTAGAACATTTAGCGACAGACCTCAGATGGAAAGAAACCCTTCATGGGGCAGAAGAGCTCAAACAAGCCCCAGATCTCCACAGTAGCCTAGCAAGCTCCTTCCCAGTCTGTATCATGTATGGATGGCCCTCTCCGGAGAACATTCAGAGACAGACAAAACTTGACAATCAAAAGGGGAAAACAACAAATGGATGCTAGTTTCTACTTGTGATGAAAAAGGGCAGGCCCAGCTTCGGTTAAGATGATCCTCCCAGCCCTACAGAGCAATGAACTTTCCTATACCCCAAAAAAGAAAATGAGATAAATTTAACAATACATCCAAACATACAAACAAAATGCTACACAAAATCTCTAGTAATAAAGCTTTCGCCTCCAATAAATTGCTAAAAGCCAAAACTTTTGCCCCCACCAGGGTAAGGGTAAGAAATCTAATTCCTAACTTTCACAAAAATAGGGGCTCTTCCACATATCAATTCACATCCCTTTTGCATAACTCTCTAGCTAGGCGAGCCTGATTTAACTACGGTCTGGAGAATCCTCGCAGAATCGAAGGGGAAATGGATCCCCTTCAAACACACACTATTGAGCTACAAGATTTCAAATATACAGCAGAAGATTGAAAGCATATATAACCAAGTCGAACCACCCACTGTTGAGTTGAGATCTCTACCAGGCAGGAGCAGCAAATCCCAGATCCCAGCTTCTTCGCGAAATCGGGCCAGGTCAAGTCAGTCAATCAGTCAGCCCACCTCTCGAAGCAAGTGGGCTAGAAGGATTGAATGACACAGAGTGGATGAAACACGAGGGAAAAGAATACCCAGTTGAGCTATGGGGCATCGGTGAAAATCGGGCTGTTGGGAAGGGAAGAAATCTAGAGCCCAGATGCACAACAGGAGGGGAGGGGAAGGAGATGATAGAGCGTATGGATGGAATCCAGAGAGGAAATCTCTGAAATCCCACTTTTTTGTGTTTGGTGAAAGGGAAAGTCTTCTCTTCTGTTACCCTTTTGCTTTTACCAGTCTCTCTGGCTCGGACTCGGACTCTCTCTATCTCTCTCTACAGTAGAAGTAGAGAATCCTGCTACTTTCCCGTTCCACCCGTTGGAGACCAAGAAAGTAGGTGATGTGAGAAAGGGTAATTTTGCAGTCACGGTTTTGTCTTTCCCACAGTCCAAACCATAACAAGAAAGCAACTAAAAACAATTGAACCGACAAAACAATAGCGCCAATGAAGCAATGACACTTAGCTATAAGTTTAGGGCCAATCATATTTTTTACTAATAAAGTTATTAGCAATCTAGGACGTAGGAACCCAAGATTTCTAAATAATCTTTATATTTAGCAAATATATGCCTATATTTGTTAAAAGAAAATAATATAAGACTGACTTTGGCAACAAGATAGGTCTTTGAAATAATTGTTTTAATTAGTTGTTTGCTCGTTGGATTTGAAAAATGAGGGTTTTGGTCAACAAAAATCTTGGGATTTATGATAGATTTATTGGATTATGGATTTGAAGAGTCTAATGTTTGCATGATATATTTGATGATGGATTTGTTAAATAAATAACTAACCATCAAGGATTTGCAAATCCCAAGTCAATATGTGGAATTTACAAGTCCGTGGGGTCCACGGATTTGGTTCTAAAATAAAGACCAAATCTGTGGACCCCACGGATTTAGCACTCTTCAACAAACAATAGACTTGTGTTAAATCCATCAAGCTTGATTACCCAAATCTAACAAACAAACGACACCACCTCTCGAAGCAAACGACCCAAATCCGTGTTTATGGGTTTTGGGCCGGGTTTGAGTTTAAACTCGTCCACTATTCACCGGGTTGGGTTGGGTTTGGGTTTAGGTAAACCCGATCCATGGGTACCCCCCACACCCATATATTTAATTATCTCAGTATATTTAATATTATAAACAACTAATCTTATTTATGTTTGTGGAGACATGTCTACTTTTTTCTTTCTAATTGTGTAGATTTTTTTTTTTTTTTTTTTTGCGTAAAAGGAGGCAAAAGCCGAGAGACAGAATACAGGGGGCCCTACAGGACAGGAGTAGTAGGCACCACAATCCGACGCTCGAAGGAAACACCCATGGCGTCCTCTCTAACAATAGAAGCTAACTCGGAGGGGGGTTAGCAACCTCATGTATGTCGTAGGGATAGACGAGACTGTGCTTCGAGAGCCAGTCCGCGACTCTATTCCCTTCCCGGTATACATGAGTGATGCTTACCAACCACTCCTAACCAATCTTCCTACGGATCGCCGAAAGAAGGGTTGCATGGGGGTGGACAGGGTCATTTCTGTTGTTGATGAGCTGTATCGCAAGCTGGGAGTCAGACTCAAAGCGCACCGCCCTACAACCCTTTTTCCAAGCCATATCCAAACCATGAAACACGCCCGATAGCTAGGCCAAAATAGATGTTGTCGTCCCGATGTTCGCAATGAAACCAACGATCCATTTACCTGTCCAGTCGCGGAGAACACCACCAGCTCTCGCAGCCCCGGGGTTGCCGTTAGAGGCCCCATCAACGTTGAGAGTCAACCAACCGCGCCTCGGGGGAGTCCACCCAGCCATCGTCGTAGTACGGCCAGTCACCGACCCTCTACCATTGGGAAGAGGAGAGGGAGCTTGCCGAGCCTCATGCCACAGCTTAACACTTAGCCATAATCGAAAACTCAAGGGATGAGGGAGAGAGGGCAGAGCTTGGACCTTTGAAACAGGACGTGCACCGATTCTTCCAGATAAGCCAGGATGCGACGGTGAAAAAAGCAGCCCAACTCATGCCCGAGCCCAATTGCTCACTACTCTTAAGATTCTCACGCAGCCAACCGCTTTCATCCGAGTTGTAGAAGCTGGCCTGAAGACTCACCGGGCTGTGACGAAACCAGAAATACCGGGCCACGGTGCAATCACGCAGAACATGAAGGATAGACTCGACCGGATCTCCACAGCTAACACAACTCTGGTTGATTGCTACTTTCCTGAAGAACATTAGAGACTTTGTCGCTAATCTCCCCAAAACAGTAAGCCACGTGAAACTCCCGATCCTTTTCGGTACAGGGAGGCTCCAAATGATCTTCCAGGTTTCCTCATCCGGGTCGAGCGGTCTCTAGTTTTGGAGTGAATAAGCTGACTTCGCCGAAAACCTCCCATCCGACGAAGCTGACCAGAAAATGGTATCCTCCTCCGTGGCCGTCTTGTCGACTCCAATGCTAAGGATCTTCTGGTAAACATCACTGGGGAGGAGGTCCTTGAAGAGCTCCGTCCGCTAGGTTCCATCTTCCTCCACGAAATTCTCGATCGGCTCAGCTACACATGACTCCGGGATGTGACCAAGGGCAACCTCCTTGAGCGGGACCTGTAAAACCCACGAATCAAGCCAAAACTTAGTATGTTTACCGTTCTTGATATTCCAAGCACAACCTTTCCGGAGGAGATTAGAAGCTTTAGCAAAGTTTCGCCAGGTAAAGGAACTTCCCTGAATTGGACGGATGATCTCAAGGTTCTCCCGTTGCGGACCGTACTTAGCCACCATCAGCTGGGTCCAAAGGCTGTCTTTCTCCTTTATCAATCTCCAACCGATCTTCGCAAGCATTGCGAGATTTGCTTGCTTGATAGATTTTAGGCCAGCTCCACCTTGCAACTTGGGTTGCGTCATCTTGTCCCAGGCTACCAGATGCATCTTCAATTTATCTTCCTCATCTCCCCATATAAAGTCCATGTTCATCCTGTCAATACTCTTACAAACAACATTGGGGATTAATTCAGTATTCATGCAGTAAGTAGGAAGGGAAGACGAAAAAAAGTTGACAACAGTAAGCCGGGCCGCAAAAGAAAGTTTTTTCGCCTTCCAGGGTGCCAGCTTCTGCTGGATGCAAAGAAGAAGGCTCTGATAGCAGCTTTGGGTGACCCTTCCATGGATAGTGTGAAGCCCAGGTACTTCCCTAGCTCCATCTTCAGAGGAAATGCCAGCTCGTCTGCTAAAATGATTTGCCTTCTGTTGATCCACATTAGGCGACACATAAAGCAGGGATTTGCTGTTGAATGACCCTAATCTGTCTCGTCTCTGCTTCTGCAAACAAAAGAAGGTCGTCTGCAAAAAAATAGGAGAGTAAAAGGCGTCCCTCTCCTGGTCAGGTGGATGGGATTCCAGCTCCTGTTATTAACGACTTCATCAATCTTATGAGATAAGCGTTCCATGCACAAAATAAAAAGGTAGGGTGAGAGAGGGTCTCTCTGGCGAACCCCCCCCCCCCCCCCCCCCCCCCCCCCCCCCGTGTCGGGGTAAGGGTTTGAGACAATTTCCCATTCCAAAGGATCCTCATTCGCTTCTGCTCCACACAATACATGATGCAGTTGATCCATGTACTTGGAAGCCCTACTTCCTTGAGAGTGTCACGCAGAAAGTCCCATCTCAGCATATCATACGCCTTCTCCAAGTCAATCTTCAGAATGAGCCCTCCTTTCTTCCCTTTTTTCCTCTCGAGAGTGTGAAGGGCTTCCTGCACCACGATGATGTTGTCCAACGTCTATCTTCATGGAATGAAAATGCTCTGCCTCGTAGAGAAAAGCTTCCTCATTACCAGTTTCAATCTGCTGGTCATTGCCTTTGTGATGGCCTTCAAATTGACGTTGTTGAGGGATATAGGCCGCAGCTGAGAAACAACTTCCGGACTGTCCACCTTCGGGATCAACACCACTGTAGACTCTGAGACAACTTCTGGCAAATTACATGTAGAAAAGAAATTAATAGCCAAATCTGTTAAGGCCTTACCCACCACCCACCACATCTGCTGATAGAAAACAGCCTGGAATCCATCGGGTCCGGGGGCTTGGTACGGCTTCATATAAAAAATGGCTCTGTGGGTGTCGAGGACGGAAAAAGGGCGCAGAAGAAGCATCAATTCCGCCTGGTCAAGTCTGGGGAAAGCGTTCTTTGGCAACCTGTCCTCGTAGGTCGAATCGTCCTGCAAGTACAGTCGAGCCAAATAGTAAAAACAAGGGCAGCAAGAGCCTGAGGCTCCTCCACCCAGTTCCCATTAACATCACGGAGTGCCAGGATCTTGTTGCGTCTTCTCCGAACATTAACTTGATGGTGGAAGTAAGCCGTGTTCCTCTCCCCGAACTTCACCCACTACTCTCTAGACCTCTGAAACCATAAAAGCTCTTCTTGCTCGAGCACCTTGTCAAGCTCAGCCTCCAACTTAGCGTGGAGCTTTCCAGGGCTACTAAAAAGGCATGGGAGAGTCTTGTTTCAACTCCTTGCAATCTAGCCAACAATCTCCTCTTATTCTGTTGAACATTCCCAAAAACATCCTTGTTCCACTCCTTAAGTTTCTCCGCCAAAGAGGTAAGCGCGTGGTGTAGCTGAGCATCCTCCTCCCAGGTACCTGCGACAAAATCCTGGAAGTTATTATGTGTAAGCCAAGCCGCCTCAAATTTAAAAGGACGAGAGTCAGGCAGAGAGGGCCCATGAGTAGCCACAGTGGTTAGAATAGGGTTGTGGTCAGACTGAAGCCGGGGAAGATGCAGCACCGTAGTGGTAGGAAAGCACTCATTCCATTTCAGATTACAGAGACTCCAATCTAATCTACTGGCTTTGTGGGTCTAAAATGAGTCTCCCCTCGTCCACGTGAACCTCGGACCCAAAAATCCCAGATCGATAAGCTCGGCCAAATTAATCCTTTCATTAAATTTCCGGCACCTCCTGATGGTAGCTGATGAAGAGGAAACAGTCTTCTCTGCAAGAGATTGGATGGCATTGAAATCCCCCGTGAGGATCCAAGGCTCCTCAATCATCTTGCTTTGGTCAATAAGTTTGTCCTAGAGAGACTTTTGGAGGTGCTGCCGGGGCGAGGCGTAGACGGCGGTCGGCACCCACGAGCTACACCTTCCTTGCCGAACGCGGATGGAGATGTGCTGGTTGCAGGCCAACAATAGTTCTGTTGAGAAACACCCGCCATCCCAGCATATCCAGACACCGCCTTTTCGGCCTTCGGCATCTACCCTAATAGAGTTGGAAAACCCCATCTTATCACAGACCGAATCGGCCAAGCTCCCACTGATTTGAGGCTCCAGCAAAATCACGAAATCGGACCGATGCTGACGAATACTGAGCTTCAGCGCTCGGGCAAAAGCTTTGCTACCTGCACCACCAACGTTCCAAGCAAAAATTTTAAACGAAGGATTACAAGACATAGCGAGATAACAGAGGGAAGCGGGAACAACAGACACGACGCTAATCAGGCCGCTGAGGGGGGCGGGTCGCCCATCGACTCTCCGTGGCTCGAAGTAGAGGGTGAGGCATCGCTCAATCCTTTCACTATAGGAAAACTCATCGCCACTTGAGCCGCTTCCGTCCAAGTAGTGATCTCCTGGAGGGTGAGAGACGCCATCCTCGATTTCGATTTTGTTTTCTAGTCTTTCATCGGAGACCATATCTGAAGTGGGCGGATAGGGTTAATCTTCGCCGACGATTCTTTCTTCGTTCGTCCCTTGGAGCTCTTCTTCCCCTTAGTTCTGATTTTCGTAAACGGGGAGGCTTGATCCGCCCTGCGTTGAGGCCCATCACTCTGGGATGAGACATGGACTACCTGCATCACCGTCCCATTCGGGCTTGTAGTAATCAGTGTTGGAGGAGGGGTGAAGGACAGATCTGATGGGCTACCTTGAGCACGAGGCCTAGTGAGGGTTTCATTGCTCTGCCAGCTAAACAGAGAGGAGGGTGACAACGTCTTAGAGTTGGATGTCGAAGCATTATGGACCTCGGCTTTGGACTATTGACCTTTCTTAGCAAACTTCCCCAGAGATGGGCCAGGGCCCAGCAGACTCTTTCCAACGGGAAGCCCCTCCTCCCTCATAACCTCCTTGCCATTTCTTCGCCCTTCCCCATTTTGCTTTCCTCCATTTTCTTTCCTATCTTCGGTCGAGGATCGTTGCAGATGTGACATTGTCGTTTGCGCCACTTCCGGTAAGGAAATTTCCGGATCTTTGATTTTTAGAGCGCTCTTTCTGTTCTTGGCCATGGCCCCATGACGCAAATTCCCCAAATCCCTTTCCTTTCCTTTATTTGGGTTCCCCACATCCTTTTCCTTTACTTTATTTGGCGATTCCCTTGGATTCCGCCGCCCTTTGCGCGAGACCAGCATCCACGGGCCGAAACCCGCGTTAACCTCCGGCGAAACAACTTGGATGCCGCCGTCAGCGATTTCAGCAACTTCCGGGACAGAGGCTTAATACGACGCTGGGGGTGTTTTTTTTTATCAAAGTCACGCAACAATCAATTAATCCGAAGATTGATTGAACTCGAATCAAGAACAATGAGTTCTTAATACGAAATTGGGATAAAACGGAACCAACGGACAATTCCACACCTGGGGAAAGCTCGTATTTTAGCAACTTCCGGGACAGAGGCTTAATACGAACCTGGGGGTGTTTTTTTATCAAAGTCACGCAACAATCAATTAATCCGAAGAATGATTGAACTCGAATCAAGAACAATGTGTTCTTAATACGAAATTGGGATAAAACGAAACCAACGGACAATTCCACACCTGGGGAAAGCTCGTATGGTATAAGAGGGTAGCTGCTCGACCACGATTGAAGAGAATATTCAATCGACACAAAGCTCACAAGCTTGGAATCCACCAAACTCAAACAAGTCGCAACTTGTACAAAACCAAAGGGTTTGTATTTCGATTAATCAAAGTCTTATGTTTTTACAACGTAAATAGAAGGCTATTTATAGCCAAGACAACCTAATACAAACCTAATGTAACTAGGAAACAATTAAGGTAAAAAAACTCTAAAAACAGTGTAAAACTCAGCCACAAACTTCCTTTCTTGACGCACAACTAAGCTGCCAGCAAAACAGTCAAAAGGCAGCTTTCGTACTAACTTCACGCCTTTCGTTCGAAGCCTTCCCGAACTCCAATCCTTCATCCAATTCCTTCCCTTTGTACATAAACATACCTAGTTTCATATTGTGGAAGCCCTTTGACTTGAATCCCCTCCATGCTTCTTGAATTGAGCTCCAAAGTAGGCTTCACAAAACAGTTTTCTGCCTTGGCCATTTTTAGGCAGTTTTCCCGTTTTGAGGTAGCAACTTTGAGGCCTTGGAAAAAAACCTTAATGACATCATATGGATACAAAAAGAATATCATTGGAAACATGGAAACTTTATCTGTAAAAAAAGCTCTTGATCTCCAATTTCCATTGAGCCATTTGTGAGATACAAGCTTCCAAAGTAGGCTACATGAAACTGTTTCAACACTTGGCCAAAAATCAGAATTCTTCAAGTGAGTTGAGATGACTTATTTGGAAAGCAATTTTGAATTGTTGATTGATCCAATTGGGATCATATCAAGGCTGACCAGAGTAGGGGGCAAGTAGCCGAAGAATGGCCAATTTTTCCGCACTCGAAACAAACGACGGGTAGATTCTCGTATTCCACGGGTTGACAGTCATCGTCTAGCCAGATTCTTGGAACAAGGGGCCTGGAGACATCGACCTCCACTGCCAGTCGTGCGAATTTTGCCCTCTGTTGGGTGAGGGTGTGGTAGTTGAGCTTGATCGTGCGTCCGATCAAATTACCCAGTGTATTCAGGACCTCCTTGTGGTAGAAATGAATTTTCAGCTCGGGGAGTTGAACCCAAATGATCATCGTCTTTGGGAGAGGGTCTGAGACCTTGAATCTTGGTGTCCATTGCTGGACGGCTATGTAGTGGTCGAAGATCATCCATGGCCCATCTGTGAGGGCTTTAAAGTAGTCTTGGTCATTGTTGAGCTTCACCAGATAGTAGGCTTCATCAAGGTCCCTGACCTCCATAGTTCCAGTCGATCGCCATAGCGACCTGAGAGGAGAACAGAGGGTCTGGAATCCGATCTTGATACCCAGAAGCCGGACCACCAAAGTTCGGTTCCATGGGGCACACAACCTGTTCTTGAAATCTAAGAAGATACTCAGAGCCGGTTCGCCATTGAACTGACAGTGGTTGCGACGTAGGCGCAATCGAAAATCCTGTGAGAATGCTCGCACACGAGAAGGGCTGTTTGACACGCCAAAACACAACACCAATCTGCGACCAAGTGTAATCGCAGACCGGGAATGCAGTAAAGTGACAAGTGATATTATCAACCCGGGGTCTAGATCTACTACTTACTCAGTGATTATCTGTTATCTAGCCAACTAAAGTAAGTAATTGTTGTTTAAAAGCAAAAGCAGAAAGAAAGCAGGAATTGATACGGTTTTCTCAAGCAGGTAAGAGTCACTCGGGAATGAGTCCCCCTAGCTCCTTAGTTAGGTTCAATTGCAATTACCCTGGGTTGATTTACTGTTGATTAGACTGCGGAAGATCCGACAGTAGCTTGGAATCTCTTAAGCTGACCAAGCCCTCTTAGTCTAACTACCCGGCAGACGACTAGTCTTCACCGGGATAGAAAGCTGAAGCAGTAAGAACAGAACTCCACTACTGGAATTGGATTACAGTACAAAGCAGTAAACTGGCTAACTCTCGTATAGCCAATCTCCTACTACCGAATGATGAGACTCAAGCAACCTAATCAGATTCTATCTATCTCAGATTGCATTAGGAATCAGGAAAAGTTGATCACGCTTCAATTGACTCAATAAACATGCATCATTCGATTAAAATCAAACAGTAATATCATCCCAAGTCATTACAATCAATCCCTAACACATAGAACTAGGGTTCTTCATCCCCAAGTGAGAGAGGGGTTCTACTCCATAGAGAGAGAGAGGAAAACAGTAATCGGAGTAGTCATACTCATAAAGATGAGGAAAATCTGCTCCGGGATGATGATTTCCACTCCTAGGGCGATCTCCAAGCTTGATTCGATGAAACCCAGCTCCAAGATAGCTTCTAGGATGTGTTCTTCGTACTTTCTCTCTCTAGGGCTCTGTTTTTGATCAAAAAGTCTGATTCCTCTTCCTTGGCTCGAGTCTGCCTTCAAAAAGGGCATCAGTGGCCAAAACACGGTCGAGGGCACGGCCGTGTAATGCCTCAGCCCGCCCGTTCTTTGGCTAGGGTTAATTACACGGCCACTGTGTTGGGAGAAACACGGCCGTGCTTTTGGGAGGACACGGCCGTGCTTTGGGTGGACACGGCCGTGCATTGTCTCGGCCCTGCCCGTGCAATCAGCTCATGTTTGCCAAACTCGAATTAGCTCTCGGCAGTAAAAGCACGGCCACAGAACACGGCCGTGTTCTGTTTTAGGTGTGCCCGTGTTTTGGCCCCAGCTCGACGAAATGACTTCCGAATGTCCCGAAACTCGTGCTTAGCCTTTCCTTTGACGCCTGGGACCTGAAATATGACAAAATAGCACAACCCGGCGTAAAATAGGCCAAAAATACACGACTATGTCCCTCAAACGGATAAGAACTAGGGGCGCAAATATGTGCAATTACATCGTTATCAAATTCCCCCACACTTAACCGTTTGCTTGTCCCCAAGCAAACCAAGTCAGACACAAGGTAAGCTCAAAACAACAAGGCATGACATATCGGCACAAAACACGTGGATCGAACAAAGGAAGAGTCTCCCTTCTGTTCACCAACCAACATAGACTTGACTCAACCACTTGTTCAAAACAGTCACATCATGCACAAAGTTCAAGATATCAGAATTAAGACCGAGCAATCTAGGTCCTCACCGGGATAAAGAGTATAGAGAATAAGAGAAAATGAATCACTCACTCTCGACCAGTGGGGTCAGGACAATATGATGCGAAAAATGCGCATGCTTAATCTCTCAATCCCTAACATCTCTTCATCATGAATGCAGCCTCTAAGTGCTAGAGTTCACATATGGGGTGTCATCACTAACCAATTCGGAGGTCTTAGACACAGGTTCAGATGACTGGCTAGGGTCTTGGACATGGGGAAAAGGCCTTTTAGGTGGTGGAAGTATTCATACAGCACAAGGTTCCACATTTCCAAACCCAACAGACTCACAATCAATCCAACCAAAACTTTCTTTCTGCTATTCTGCATTACTCAAGTTCAGAGCACAAGAGCGAAGGAGGTTACATAAATGCTAGTATTTCTAAGCCAGACTGCTAAGAAACACTACTACATGGGCATTATTAAGATTTTTGGTGGTGGCTCTCTTTTGCTTTCAATTTTTTTCTTTGATTTTCTTTCATTATTTTTCATTTCATAAGTGAACCACCGCCTCTGCACATTGTCAAACACCTGCCCAACTTTTAAGCACTACCTCCAACCCTCACATTACATTTAGCAGAAACAGCAGAGAACATGTAAAAATCACTCTGTGGAACCTTCTAAAAGATGCAAAAGGGTGACTTTTCATTGAAGACCGAAAGAAAGAAAACACACGGCTCAAAGGGGCTGACTAGGGGTATGACACACCAGGACAGTCAATTTGGTCGTGGGCTAATCCTATGCCTCCATCATCTTAGCTAATGACAACGTGAATGATGCACATCATGGAAGAGGGAACTATCGCACAAGAAAGAAACGAGCAGGCTCAAATCTCACATGGCTACCTATATGCTCTATCTCTCGTTCTGATTCCCTGAACTAGATGCATAAATGACTGTCAAAAGCAAGTGATCGAACCAAGTCACATTTGGTGAGCAGACAATTGAAAAACTGAACCCCTACACAATTCTACTGCACATCTCAGTCATCACAATAAGTTGTCTAAGTCACACTCAAGTTGTCATGTATCAAGTCAAAAGCCATTCAGTTCACTAATCACATCCACAGTGCCAATACGATTAATCATCAAGCAAACAGCCGTGCTTGGAGCCCTCAAATCTCAAGATTTGGACAGTGGACTAGGCTCCAAGCACACATATATATGTTCCAATTCATACAAAGAACCCCCCCACACTTAAACGCGACAATGTACTCAATGGAGCAGAGGGAAGGGGAACGATGTTACCATGAAACAGTGGTCAGGAACGTTGACTGGATGGCGGACCAGTCAAAAGAAAGAGGCACAGAGCTAGAGACAACAAAAACACACACACTGGGTGATAGGAATCAGAGTACCAAGTCTACAATCCAAGATAAAAAAAACAAAACAAAACGAAATCACAAAACACGGAGTCTCAGTCTGGAACACAAATAAAGCACAAAACCCGCTCTAGAAGGCATCACCGCCATCGCTGGTGGGTGGAGGGTACTCATCCTCAAACCCTGGGGACTGCACGAACGGGTAGTGGACCGCGTTCGGGTCCAAGCCCAAGTAGGACATGATGTAGTGCTGCCCCGACATGAGACGACGCCCTCGGTCCCGCTCACGATCAAGGCGGGTGTGGATGCGCTCCTGGCCGGCCAGGATGCGCTCATTCTGCTGCGTGATCACCGCCAACTGGTCGGAGATGGGCACCACCACTGGAGGAGGTGACCCTGGAGAAGGAGACCGGGGAGCAGGAGAGGGGCTCGCGGGAGCCTGGGCACGACGGGGAACTCGGCGCCCACCAGCGGCGCTCGACTCGGCCTGGTCGCCCTCTGCAGGTATAGGTGGCTGAGGAAGGCCCGCGATCCAGCGCACACGCCCGAGGCGAGCAACCAAGTGCTGGTGGCAGAGAGTAGGCTCGCCGAGTAGGGTTGGTCCGCGGACCAATGGCATCCCTCCGTAGTCCACCCCGTAGTTGCGGGCCAAGGCGGTGATCACCGGGCCACAAACGAGGCTGCGAGTCGTGCTGATGGCTGCCTTAGTGAACGTCCAGGCAAGCACAGAGCCCAGCTGGAAGGTGTCCTAAGAACGACCCATCGCATGCAACAACCAGAGAGTCCAGAGTGTGACCCGGTTGGACGAGCCCTAGCTGGGTGTGTAAGAAGTGCACATCAGGTGGTTGAGGATCCGCCACTCCGGATGGAGGAGAGCAGCCCGCGTTTGGCTGGCCACGTACTCTTCATCCACACTGTCCGGCAGGCAAATGCTCTGAAAGTACGCCTGGGAAGCGAAGTCCGTGGGATCAGAGAGATCCAAGCGGAGAGGAGGCCCGCCCGCTGCCCGGGAATTGAGACGAAGTGCATTGGCGAACTCCCAGTAACTGAGGGAGTGCTCCACCCCGCTGAGGGTGAACTGAACTGCATCAGCATGGTCGGAGTTCCCCTTCGAGTTGTGGTGGAAGGTGGCGTAGAACTCCCAGACTAGCTCCTTGTAGGTCGGCTCGGCGAGGGTGAGAAGACGCCGCCAAGCAGGGGAGCGACCTCGGCCTCCATCTGTGGCCTTGCATGAAGCTCCTCGAACACCTCCCAATCGAGGTGAAAGTGCTCGGCGATGCTGCGGTCACGGAGGTTCCGCAGCTTATGGCGCTGGACGATGTTCATCTGGTCGAGATAAACCTCCATGATCCTGCAAAACACAATGAAGGACAAAGTGTACACAAGCAAACGGGGTCAATGTTAGGCCAAAACCACACCGGGAGCCCTCATATCGAAAGATATTGACAGTGGACTAGACTCCCGGCGACACAAACATACCCATCATACGAGATTTACACAGCAAAATACACCGGGGACCCTCGAATCGAGCGATTCGGACAGTGGACTAGGCCCCTGGTGAAACAAGCATACCACAACTGTCCTAAATAGCACCAATCGAGGCATCACAGAAAAATCACATATCACGCAGACCATTCAACATGCAATCAGCCCAATCATCC